CCATTTCAGGTCTTAATTGATTGTTCACGCTTACAGTGGCTTTCAGACAGCATACATTATAAAAAAATTCGTCTCCCCCCTCCTCTTTTCAGAATATAGATGGACTAGTCCTGGGTAAACTGCCAAATCGTTGCGCGTGGCGCTAACGTTTTTATAAATAAATGCGCCGTTTAAAAATAAATTTATGCGAACCAACACACCTGAAGACGACCGTTTGAGTTATGGTCGAAACGTCGTGAGAATTTTTTTTATTGTTTTATATATATATTTTATTATTTTGTTGTTTCTCTTCAACGTGACTTTACCGAAAAAACTAAGAATATGAATTACTGCAGTCACGAAAGCTTTAAATCAAAATTTATATTGTTATACTTTTTGCAGTAATTCATATACAAAGTATATTGTTATACTTTTTGCAGTAATTCATATACAAAGTATATTGTTATACTTTTTGCAGTAATTCATATACAAAGTATATTGTTATACTTTTTGCAGTAATTCATATACAAAGTATATTGTTATACTTTTTGCAGTAATTCATATACACAGTATATTGTTATACTTTTTGGAGTAATTCATATACAAAGTATATTGTTATACTTTTTGCAGTAATTCATATACAAAGTATATTGTTATACTTTTTGCAGTAATTCATATACACAGTATATTGTTATACTTTTTGGAGTAATTCATATACAAAGTATATTGTTATACTTTTTGCAGTAATTCATATACAAAGTATATTGTTATACTTTTTGCAGTAATTCATATACAAAGTATATTGTTATACTTTTTGCAGCAATTCATATACAAAGTATATTGTTATACTTTTTGCAGTAATTCATATACAAAGTATATTGTTATACTTTTTGCAGTAATTCATATACAAAGTATATTGTTATACTTTTTGCATTGTGTACAGTCAGGAAGCTACCCACATGCCAAATTTCAAGTGTGTTGCAAGTCGGAAGTACGCTAAACATTTCGAACATGCACACACATTCACAAATTTCCCTTTTTTATATATATAGACTAGTGTCTAGCCACCCCCCCACCCTCTATTATTGGAAAACAGGACCTGAATTCTTATCTCTTTAAGGCCACAGTGTTTCAAGTAAACACTGCGACGTTGGACGAGCGACGGCGGTTTGGGCCGACGTTTAGACTATGTTCGATTATTTTTTGCCGATGTAAAATGTCCAAATGATGAGGGCCAATTTTTTTTTATTTAAAAGCTTTCGTGACTGCAGTAATTCATATTCTTGGTTCTTTCGGTAAAGTCACGTTGAAGGGAAACAATAAAACAATAAAATTACATATAAAACAATAAAAATTCTCACGACGTTTCGACCGTAACACAAACGGTCATCATCAGGTGTGAAAACCAACGTGCGAGAAACATTTGAAACGCTGTGCCCTTAAAGAGACAAGAACCCAGGTCCCGTTTTCCAAATGTTTCTTGCCGTTGGTTTTCACACCTGATGATGACTGTTTGTGTTGCAGTCGAAACGTCGTGAGAATTTTGTTACGTATATTATTATGATTTTATTGTTTCCCTTCAACGTGACTTCACCGAAAGATGAGGCCACTTTCATTGAGCTGCTATAATCTGTGATGGCCAACGTCGCGTTTTGAAATACAAGTTAATCGCTCAGTGGGTCTTTGCCTGCTAGGATTGAGCATGGTTGAGTGTTGTTTGTGTTTGTGCGTTGGATCATTTGTTTACCGTTCGTGTACTTTGCACTATCCGTCGTGTTTTGTTGTTGTCGTCGTTGTGACGTTTTTTTACCCCGTGGTTCCTCCTACTGGACGTCTTGTGAGAAAAGAGCTTCATTAGATTTTTCGGATTTCCTCCTGCGGCACAAGTAAATATTCTGACATTGGCGCAATATTTAGTTGAGCTTGTCCACAGCCACGAACGCAGCCGCAGTCATCGCACACGTAAGAAATAAGAAGAGGTTTTTTTTGCCCCCCCCCCCCCGTTCTGGCAATAAAAGAGGTTGTAAAAAGGATGTTCAAACACCAAATCGATAACTTTTGCAAGCAACAAAGTGCTGCATTAACCGCGCGTACACTTGCAGTAAACTGTGCAAACAGAGACAGCAGCTTTCTTTAGGGCCTCGTCTCTGTACCAGTGTCGGACCAGAGAACGCCACAAAAGGCACACAGTACAAGGGCAATGCACGGTACCAGAGCTCGGGTTGAGTTAGTTGATTCCTTGCAAAAGGTATCTGTGCGGCGTTCGAACATCTAAACACCGCCTAATTTTATTAACGCAAAGGGAAAAAAAAGCCATGCTTATTTTCCATACTTTGTAAAGGGGTAGGGAATGATGACGGACAGTGATGTAAGGGGGCATGGAGCGGATTACTTTACACTTTGATACTGGGCAAATAAAAAGGTCCCATAGATATAACTCGTTTAATTTGGAGGTACAGTGTACGACATACAGTATATATACCCAGTAGTTTGCCCAAGGATGTAAACCACATAGATGTATTATAGCAACCAGGGGCGGAGACACAGGGGGGGGGGCTGGGGGGCTTAGCCCCCCTTGAAATGTTGCGAAAGTCGGTAATCGGTATAACCGGATATCCGGTTGCTGCAAAATGCTGCAGGCTGCCACCTTGTGCTGCCCTGCAGGCTACCACCTTGTGCTGCCCTGCAGGCTGCCACCTCGTGCTGCCCTGCAGGCTGTCACCTTGTGCTGCCCTACAGGCTACCACCTCGTGCGCTGCCCTGCAGGCTGCCACCTTGTGTGCTGCCCTGCAGGCTGCCACCTTGTGCTGCCCTGCAGGCTGCCGCCTTGTGCTGCCCTGCAGGCTGCCACCTCGTGTGCTGCCCTGCAGACTGCCACCTTGTGCTGCCCTGCAGGCTGCCGCCTTGTGCTGCCCTGCAGGCTGCCACCTTGTGTGCTGCCCTGCAGGCTGCCACCTCGTGCTGCCCTGCAGGCTGCCGCCTTGTGCTGCCCTGCAGGCTGCCACCTCGTGTGCTGCCCTGCAGGCTACCACCTTGTGCTGTCCTGCAGGCTGCCACCTTGTGCTGTCCTGCAGGCTGCCACCTCGTGTGCTGCCCTGCAGACTGCCACCTCGTGTGCTGTCCTGCAGGCTGCCACCTTGTGCTGCCCTGCAGGCTACCACCTCGTCCTGCCCTGCAGGCTGCCACCTTGTGCTGCCACCTCGTGCTGCCCTGCAGGCTGCCACCTTGTACTGCCCTGCAGGCTGCCACCTTGTACTGCCCTGCAGGCTGCCACCTCGTGCTGCCCTGCAGGCTGCCACCTTGTGTGCTGCCCTGCAGGCTGCTTGAGCGGCAACCTTTCGAACTTATCGAACTTATTAGCCACGTCAGCGGCTCCGACCTACTAATAAACTCCGCGTTCAAATCCAATAAGATTAGTTTTGTACATTTATGGCGCCCATTGGAAAACATAAACACACTGAGATATCTCAGAATATTGAAGTCAGCCTCCCCAAAGTCATAATCCTGGCTCCGCCCCAGGTAGCAACCTTGACACGTTCTTAAAAATAATAAAAAAATATTGTTTTATATTTTTATTATTTTGTTGTTTCCCTTCTACGTGGTGGTGACTTTACCGAAAGAACCAAGAATGTGAATCCCTGCAGTCACGAAAGCTTTAAATCAAAATTTAACCTTGGCATGTTCACTTCAAAGCCTGGGGCGGTTGAAGGGTGGGCTTTGTTTAGGAACCTTTTTGTTTGCATATACATTTTTAATTTCATTAAAATTCACAAGATCATGCCAAACTCCCGTTTCCCACAATCCCTGAACTGCGAAACAACATCACAACATTGTAGCTCTGTCGTCTCGACAGGTCTGTTCCTTTCACCTGAAGAAGGCCGCTTGTGTTGTGGCCGAAACGTCGTGAGAATTGTATTGTGTTATTTTATTATTGTATTCTCATTCTACGTGGTGGTGACTTTACCGAAAGAACCAAAGAAGATGAATCCTTGCAGTCACGAAAGCTTTAAATCGAAAAAAATTCACATCACAACGATCATCATTATCATCATTGAGCAAGTGTAATGGCATCGTTGCCATCATCGGCCACGGTCAATCCATCGCTGGTACACAGCGAATATATAAATAAAAGTAATTAACACAAAACATATTTAAGAGCGCTGTTTAGTTATTGGAGCAGTCTTCATCCAGCAGTGGATAAATAGGCCGGTGATATATTTATGGCATTGCGGTAAATCTTGCAAACGTGTCAAAAGCTACATTTGTTGTTTAAATGAAGCATTGAGGCAGTGGTTGTTGGCTCGCCTCTCACTTACAGCCCTGCAGAGCCTGGGGTGGAAATTCCACGTTACTGTGGCAGGCGAGCGAGAGTCCGTGGCATTGGAGAACCACAAATGGATGCTCAGGGACGACTGGGCCGAGTCACATGCAGTATATATTGTGGCAATTATTGGACAATTACTCGGCAGAAATCTACAGTGGTGATAAGAGCATTTCGCAGTGTTAAGGGTGTTTATTTTCGTTAATTTTGTCTGTAGGCCTTAGGGAACTAGTACCAGCCTTGCCGGGTTTCCATGGCAACCAACCGACTCGCCCGCACACCTGAGCGAGGGGCGGGGTGGGGGTAAAGGAGAGGGGTGGGGGGGGGGCGGGGGGGTAAGGGAAGGGGCCTTGGAAAGAGGGGTGGAGTTGGGGGGGGGTCCACCGGAACTCCGCCCCTCGCCCACCTGAGGTGTTGCGAGTGGAAGGGGGAGTGAGTGGGAGGGGGTTGGGCGAATGGGGTGAGGGGCGGGGGTGTGGGGGGGTTGCGTGGGGGGGAGGGGTTGCGTGGGGGAATGTGAGGGGGGGGTTACGTGGGGGGGGGGTTACGTGGGGGGGGGGGTTGCGCGGGGGGGGGTTGCGTGGGGGGGGGTTACGTGGGGGGGGGTTACGGGGGGTGTGCGTGGGGGGGGGTGTGGGGGAGGGGTGCGTTTGGGGGGGTGGGTCAATCCACCGGAACTCCGCCCCTCGCCCACCTGAGGCGTGACGTCACGGGGCGGGAGACGAGGTGGAGCAGCAGCAGCAGGAGGAGGAGGAGGAGACGTCGTAGAGATGGCGGCGGTCCGTGGTTCTGGCTCTCGGCGGCAGCTGCCGCGGCTTCTGCTGCTGCTGCAGGCGACGGCGGTCGCCATGGGCGGTGAGTCCGGAGGCTGGCTGGTGGTCGTGCCATTTTTGTTTGCGAGGCTTTGTGTGTGTGTGTGTTGTGTGTTGTTTTATGTGTGTGTTTTTGTGTGTGTGTTGTTTTATGTGTGTTGGTTTTTGTGTGTGTGTTGTTTTGTGTGTGTGTTTTATGTGTGTGTGTTTTTATGTGTGTGTGTTGGCTTTTGTGTGTGTGTGTTGTTTTGTGTGTGTGCTTTTATGTGTGTGTGTTGTTTTATGTGTGTGTTGTTTTATGTGTGTGTGTTTTTGTGTGTGTTTTTGTGTATGTGTGTGTGTTGGTTTTTGTGTGTGTGTTTTGTGTGTGTGTGTTGTTTTGTGTCTGTGTTTTATGTGTGTTTTTGTGTGAGTGTTGTTTTATGTGTGTTGTTTTTTTGTGTGTTTGCGTGAGTTTTGTTGACAAGTGCACCTAGCCTGGCACACGAGCGGTGTTTGTAACGGTGGGGGCGGGCGGGGGGTTGCGTGCTGCGGATATGTGAGGGGATTTGATGTCTCGAAGTGAACCTAGCCTGGCACACGAGCGGTGTTTGTAACGGTGGGGGGCGGGGGGTGTGCGTGCTGCGGATATGTGAGGGGATTTGATGTCTCGAAGTGAACCTAGCCTGGCACACGAGCCGGTGCGGTAACGGCGGGGAGCGGTGGCGCAGGTGGTTAGCGCACCGCGAATCCGACCGACACGGCCTTTAAACGAGACGCAGCAGCAAACGTCGCCACCAGGGGAGACAAAGGCGGCCGGGCGTGGCGCTGGCCACCCACCCACCACCCCACTCCCCTCCCCTCGTGTGCTCCGTTTCGCTCTTCGTAGGTGCTGACAGCACTTGCCCCCTACAGTCTGTGAAGGCTACACGGGGCATCTTTGTCTTTCCTGGACACAATCACCTTCGCGTGTGCCATTCCGACCTTCATAGGTGATACTTAATAGGTGACACTTCATAGGTGATGCTTCATAGGTGATGCTTCATAGGTGATACTCATAGTGACACTTCATAGGTGAAACTTCATAGGTGACGCTTCATAGGTGACGCTTGATAGGTGACGCTTCATAGGTGAAACTTCATAGGTGACGCTTCATAGGTGACACTTCATAGGTGACACTTCATAGGTGAAACTTCATAGGTGACACTTCATAGGTGACACTTCATAGGTGAAGCTTCATAGGTGATGCTTCATAGGTGACGCTTCATAGGTGACACTTCATAGGTGACACTTCATAGGTGACACTTCATAGGTGAAACTTCATAGGTGACACTTCATAGGTGACACCTCATAGGTGATACTTCATAGGTGACACTTCATAGGTGACACTTCATAGGTGACGCTTCATAGGTGAAACTTCATAGGTGACGCTTGATAGGTGATGCTTGATAGGTGACACTTCATAGGTGAAACTTCATAGGTGACGCTTGATAGGTGATGCTTGATAGGTAACACTTCATAGGTGAAACTTCATAGGTGACGCTTCATAGGTGATACTCATAGTGACACTTCATAGGTAACGCTTCATAGGTGATGCTTCATAGGTGATGCTTCATAGGTGAAACTTCATAGGTGATACTTGATAGGTGACACTTCATAGGTGATGCTTCATAGGTGATACTTCATAGGTGAAACTTCATAGGTGAAACTTAATAGGTGATACTTAATAGGTGAAACTTGATAGGTGACACTTCATAGGTAAAACTTCATAGGTGAAACTTCATAGGTGATACTTCATAGGTGACGCTTCATAGGTGATACTTCATAGGTGACACTTCATAGGTGAAACTTAATAGGTGATGCTTCATTGGTGATACTCATAGTGACACTTCATAGGTGAAACTTAATAGGTGAAACTTAATACGTGACACTTCATAGGTGAAACTTCATAGGTGAAACTTAATAGGTGATGCTTCATAGGTGCCACTTCATAGGTGACACCTCATAGGTGAAACTTCATAGGTGCCACTTCATAGGTGACACTCATAGTGACACTTCATAGGTGAAACTTAATAGGTGATGCTTCATAGGTGCTACTTCATAGGTGATGCTTCATTGGTGAAACTTCATAGTTGATGCTTCATAGGAGCTGCAGTGGAGTAACAGACACTGATGAATCGTGTGACGAGCAAAAATAAGAATAGGGGGTTTTTTTTGTTTTTGGGGTACCCTCTAATGGCTAAATAAAACAGGCGCAGTTTTCAGATGTTCAAACACCAAACCAGATACCCGGCGCTGCGTTCAATCAGCACACACACACAGCTCTTGATGGCGAACGTGCATATATTATTATTGATATACAAGCATTGTCTTTGAATACTGATCGTCTGATCATTGTCTTTGGAAAAAAAGGCTGTCCTCTGGGGTTGGACAATCAGTTTCAAATACAATGCAAGTTGCTATCAGAGCGGCGTTTGTTTGGAGTGCTCGCCACGAAGTACCGCGGTGTGGTTAATTCGGTAACGTGATTCTTCGCGAAAGGTTTCGTCCATTTGGTGTTTGAACATCGGAACACAACGCCAGTTTGATTTCGCCGGAAATGCTAAAACCAAATTCTTATTTTTTCATACTTTGATAGTGGCAATAAAAAAAGAGGTCCCCCACGATAACCACTTTGTGTTCTGCCAGGTGGGCCAGATCACCCGACCCTGACGCCTGCTGCTGCTGTATATTTGGAGTTTGCGTGTCTCTCTCTCATCATCATCACGGTGGCTATGAGATGTTAACTACCTCGCCTGGTATACAGGAGGTCGTGGGTTCGATCCCGACCCTGACGCCTGCTGCTGTATATTTGGAGTTTACGTGTCTCTCTCTCTCATCATCATCACGGTGGCTCGGAGATGTTAACTACCTCGCCTGGTATACAGGAGGTCGTGGGTTCGATCCCGACCCTGATGCCTGCTGCTGTATATTTGGAGTTTGCGTGTCTCTCTCTCTCATCATCATCATCACGGTGGCTAGGAGATGTTAACTACCTCGCCCGGTATACAGGAGGTCGTCGGTTCGATCCCGACCCTGACGCCTGCTGCTGTATATTTGGAGTTTGCGTGTCTCTCTCTCTCATCATCATCACGGTGGCTAGGAGATGTTAACTACCTCGCCTGGTCTACAGGAGGTCGTGGGTTCGATCCCGACCCTGATGCCTGCTGCTGTATATTTGGAGTTTGCATGTCTCGCTCTCATCATCATCACGGTGGCTAGGAGATGTTAACTACCTCGCCTGGTGTACAGGAGGTCATGGGTTCGATCCCGACCCTGACGCCTGCTGTTGTATATTTGGAGTTTGTGTCTCTCATCATCATTACGGTGGCTAGGAGATGTTAACTACCTCGCCCGGTCTACAGGAGGTCGTGGGTTCGATCCCTACCATGACATCGCTCACTGTGTCTTACGTGGTAAAAATTACAATTGTTTAAGTAGTTTAGAGTGGGCGAGTGATTGAGTTAGTAGGTGAGTGTATGAGTTAGTGAGTGGATTAGTGGGTGAGTGTATGAGTGAGTGAGTGGGTTAGTGGGTGAGTGTACGAGTGAGTGAGTGGGTTAGTGGGTGAGTGTACGAGTAAGTGAGTGGGTTAGTGGGTGAGTGTACAAGTGAGTGAGGGGGTTAGTGGGTGAGTGGACCAGTGAGTGAGTGAGTTAGTGGGTGAGTGCACGAGTGAGTGAGTGGGTTAGTGTACCAGTGAGTGAGTGGGTTAGTGGGCGAGTGGACCAGTGAGTGAGGGGGTTCGTGGGTGAGTGTACCAGTGAGTGAGTGTTCCAGTGAGTGAGTGGGTTAGTGTACCAGTGAGTGAGTGGGTTAGTGGGTGAGTGTACGAGTGAGTGAGTGGGTTAGTGTACCAGTGAGTGAGTGGGTTAGTGGGTGAGTGTACCAGTGAGTGGACCAGTGAGTGAGTGGGTTAGTGTACCAGTGAGTGAGTGGGTGAGTGCATGAGTGAGTGAGTGGGTTAGTGTACCAGTGAGTGAGTGTACCAGTGAGTGAGTGGGTTAGTGGGTGAGTGTACCAGTGAGTGAGTGAGTGTACGAGTGAGTGAGTGGGTTAGTGTACCAGTGAGTGAGTGGGTTAGTGGGTGAGTGTACCAGTGAGTGAGTGGGCTAGTGTACCAGTGAGTGAGTGGGTTAGTGTACCAGTGAGTGAGTGGGTTAGTGGGTGAGTGTACCAGTGAGTGAGTGGGTGAGTGTACCAGTGAGTGAGTGAGTGTACGAGTGAGTGAGTGGGTTAGTGTACCAGTGAGTGAGTGGGTTAGTGTACCAGTGAGTGAGTGGGTTAGTGGGTGAGTGTACCAGTGAGTGAGTGGGTGAGTGCACGAGTGAGTGGGTTAGTGTACCAGTGAGTGAGTGGGTGAGTGTACGAGTGAGTGAGTGGGTTAGTGTACCAGTGAGTGAGTGTACCAGTGAGTGAGTGGGTGAGTGCACGAGTGAGTGGGTTAGTGTGCCAGTGAGTGAGTGGGTGAGTGGGTGAGTTCCCGTCGCTTCAATCCGGTCGTGAGTATTGTTCCCCGACTCGACCTCTCTGGCTCCGCCGACAGCCCTTGGCCCCCACACAATTCGTGTGGGGGCTCTCTGGCGGGGAGAAGGAAGTTGCTGGACCCTTTGTCCATTTGTGCCATGGCCCCCACCTGCGGGTAGTCACCCACAGCGCTTGGATCGGACGCGCGAAGCACCACGGGGGGTGGGGGGTTTGTGGGTCTCGTGACGCGTCGTGAGTCCCGTCAGGGGTAAGGGTTGCAAGAACTTAAATCCGCATTGTTGTGACTTGACGTCAGCCCACGTTCGCCCTCCCCCCCCCAGCCTTGTTAACACCTGGGTAGCATGCGCGTCGTCATCATCATCGTCATCGTCGCATATATCGCCGTCGCATATATCGCCGTTTGTTGGTTATTCGCCCAGACAGCGCTTACGGGTTCGTGGTGGCGTGGGCGATGGCGTGGGTGGATGTCCGTCTCGGTCTTTGAATCCCGTGCCCTCTTGGACTCCCCAGCTCCCTTGCGTTGGTTCATTTCCGCGC